CGATCTTATTGTGCGGGTGTTTAGAGCCAAGCTAGAGGACCTAAAGAAGCAACTATTCAAAAATCACATCCTTGGAAAGGTGATTGCGTATGTCTACGTAGTTGAATTTCAAAAGAGAGGCCTGTCGCATGCTCACTTTCTGTTAATCATGGAGTCCAAATGCAAGCTCACGGATCCGGAGCAGTACGACCGCCTCATCTCAGCCGAGCTACCAGACAAGCATAAGTACCCTGAGTTATACGCCATGGTCGTTAAGCATATGATGCATGGCCCCTGTGGTGTCCTGAACCCCAAGAACGTGTGCATGCAGGGTGGTTCTTGCAAAAACCGATACCCACGCCCATTCAACTCGAGCACTATCCAAGGAAAGGACTCATACCCCGTTTATCGGAGACGAGATGATGGTCGTCGCACCCAGGTCCGACGAAGAACTCTTGACAACAGGTGGGTTGTGCCATATAACCCTTACCTCCTACAAAGGTACAACTGCCACATAAACGTGGAAGTGTGTTCTAGCATCAAGGCTGTCAAGTATTTGTACAAATACATATACAAGGGCCATGATCGGGCTTCATTCTCTCTGGACGAGCCTGACAGTAATGGAAACATCGATGAGATCAAGAGATACTTGGATGCTAGGTGGGTTACCCCACCTGAGGCGCTCTGGAGGATATTCGGCTTCAACCTTAGCGAGATCTCGCCATCAGTAATGCAATTGCAGCTTCATCTCCCAAACATGCACATGGTCTCATTTTCCGCAAATCAGGACTTAAATGATGTTATCTCCCGACAGGGTATATCCAGAACAATGCTCACCGCATATTTTGAAACTAATAGAACTGTCCCAGAGGCCCGAGGAGTGTTGTACAAGGATTTTCTAGAAAGGTTCAGATGGAACCCAGGCACAAAGAAGTGGACAAAAAGGAAGCAACGGTTTCAAGTAGGTAGAATTGTGTCAGCCCATCCAGCTGAGGGGGAACGATACTATCTAAGGGTGTTGCTAAACCATGTGGCGGATGCGACATCCTTTGAAGACCTAAGGATGGTCGATGGTGTTGTTTTTCCGAGCTTTCGGGAAGTAGCCGAAAGAAGGGGTCTTATCGAGGCCGACAATACCCTCGAGGAGTGTCTTACTGAGGCCCAGCTATTCCAGATGCCATCCTCCCTCCGGAGGCTTTTTGCAACTATCTTGGTCTTCTGCGAGCCTAGCAGCATACGTGAGCTGTGGGACAGGCACCTAGAGGCAATGTCAGATGACTACCGACGTTCTCACACGTGCCCACACATGGTGGAACAAATGGTGTTGTTGGATGTTAGGGACATGTTGCATTCGATGGGGAAAGAGATATCATCATTCCCCCTTCCCAACATCAATGAGTCTCATGACATCATCGGGGGTGAGGCTAGAGAGGTCATTGAGGAGTCTACAGTCGAGGTTGACCCGGATCATTTAGCTATGGTATCCTCTCTCAACCAAGAGCAAAGGTACGCCTACGACGAGATATTGTCCTCCGTTGATAGTGGCAACGGAGCCGTCTTTTTCGTTGACGGCCCGGGAGGAACTGGGAAGACTTTCCTCTACAAAGCACTGCTCGCAAAGGTTCGCAGTGAGGGAAAGATAGCCGTGGCAACCGCAACTTCAGGGGTTGCTGCATCCATCATGCCGGGAGGCAGGACAGCCCATTCGAGGTTCAAGATCCCGTTGAGCATCGAAGATGGCGCAACATGCAGCTTCTCAAAGCAAAGTGGGACAGCCAAGCTCCTTCGGATGGCATCCCTCATTATATGGGATGAGGCCTCTATGACAAAGCGGCAAGCAGTTGAGGCGCTAGACAACAGTATGAGAGACATAATGGGCCGACATGACATGCCATTTGGGGGGAAGACTGTTGTGTTTGGAGGGGACTTCAGGCAGGTCTTACCAGTTGTCCGAAAGGGGACAAGGCCACAGATAACCGATGCGACTCTACGGAAGTCCTACCTATGGGAAAGCATGCGACAACTAAGACTGGTCCGTAATATGAGGGCTCAAAGTGATCAATGGTTTGCTGATTTTCTATTACGTGTTGGGAATGGAATCGAGGAGGTTGATGAGAATGGTAACATACGTCTTCCATCTACTCGAAACGACGTTGACCTTGATAGGCTGACCGAGCATGTCTTCCCCGGTCTAGGTGAGAACCTCACCGATCCAAATTACATCACGTCTCGGGCCATCCTGTCGACCAAGAATGATAATGTTGACATGATAAACATGAGGATGATAGAACGTTTCCAAGGCCAAGAAATGGTATACTACAGCTTCGACCGTGCCGAGGATGATCCCCACAACTACTATCCACCCGAATTTCTCAACTCACTCACTCCCAAGGGGCTTCCTCCACATGTCTTGAAGATGAAGATTAATTGCCCCGTTATATTGTTGCGAAATATCGACCCTGCTAACGGACTATGTAATGGAACGAGGCTTGTGGTTCGAGGGTTCCAGAGAAATACTATTGACGCCGAGATCGTTCTTGGACAGCACGCCGGAAAGAGGGTCTTCTTGCCTCGGATACCCCTATGCCCCTCTGATGATGAAGTCTTTCCTTTTCGCTTTAAAAGGAAGCAATTCCCAATTAGACTCAGCTTTGCCATGACAATCAACAAGGCACAAGGGCAAACCATTCCTAATGTCGGTGTGTATCTACCTGATCCAGTTTTCTCGCATGGTCAGCTATATGTGGCATTATCTAGAGCAACCGCAAAGAGCAACATCAAAATTCTTGCTATACCGGGTAAGGACGAGAATGGACGATCCAAATCTTCTAACTCTCAAGGGACAACCACACGGAACATTGTCTACAAGGAAGTCCTCAGCATGTAGAAATTTGAGGCCCTGGTCTTCTGCGAATCGGTGGTAAAAGCTCAACATGTAGAAGCAAACTTCAATGTTTGCTAAATAATTACTACCATGTACCGAGGAACAAAGTTAAAATTTATGAAGCTATGTATTGTTTATTCTAGATGGAGCAACTTTTGTCTTGTTCAGTGGTTTGGGGATGCAAAGATATGGAAATATGTTTTTTTTTCTGGCAAAGTATTCTGATGTGAATTAGTCTATGAATTTGGTACATACACTATTTTCATATACATGGGTGCAAATTCACTTAATACCATTTCCTTACATGAATCGTAACTACCCCCTCCGTAGCATTTTATAAGATGTTTTAAGAGTCCATTACAGTGACGAAAAACTTTTTATATCAAGTTACAGAGGGAGTATAAAACAATGGGTTGATTCTCTCTGTACTGATATCTATTAAGTTGAATATGAAACGGTGGTCTTTATATTAAATGAGCTTTGAATACAAACTTCCCTTAGAACAACACACCATAATTTCCTTGAGACATTTATTACAATTGATGCGTGTACTTTTATATGGTGATCTTGATGGACCGAACGGACAAAGCTTGATTATCAACCTATCACTAAAGCAGACCCCACTACATGGCTTGCACTATAATTACATACCAGAAATGTGCCCTCTACATGCAGGATTTATTTAGTAACTTTGTCCTTTCCCTTCCCGATGTAATGGTGTGCACAGACCATTGACTTGTCTGAGTCCTCCTTCCCTCGCATGTCTGTAATGCACCCTCCCATGCTAGAATATTTAAATAATATTTGCCTTTTGGCTTCCCAATGAATGGAGTACGCAGCCCATCATTGCGTCTTCTCTCTCACTTGGCTATTATTGTGCCGTCTCTCTCAGCCAACAGCTAACCCCGGATTCCAGGGGCAAGTAATCGATTCAAGCCTCTGAATCGAGGAGAAGATATTCAAGGATTGAGCAGATCTCCTCCGAGACCAAGAACTATCTGGATGGAGCTCGACTTCTCTCTCTCTCTCTCTCTCTCTCTCTCTCTCTCTCTCTCTCTGACATGTGCTCCTTCCCAATCCAATGGCAGATGGATTTTCAGACCAAGCGCCTAGGACCCGTGCAACTCCATATCTTCTCCCCTGCTTAGTCCCCTATATATATATATATGTGTGTGTGTGTGTGTTGTTTGGCATGGCATTCTCAAGCAAGCCGGCTGTAGAAGATTGCTTTGATAAATTTGGTATGTCCTATCACTTAATTCTTTCGCTTATTTGTTCTTTGTGGAGTTTATCACAAAGAAAGCAGAGAGAAAAGCCATCATATTGCTATAATCTTTGCAGAAGCTACTATAATCATCATATGCATGCAGTCCTTGTAGAATTGTGAGAGCTAAGTAAAAACTGTTGCTGGTGGTTGTTTTGTTAAATTAAAACAGCTTAATCCTTGAGTGATGCACTGAAGCTTTCGTACTGTTCTTTTCTGAATTTGTATAATTTCATAACTTATGTATCCTGGTTTTCTGCATTTTCTAACTTCATTCTCAGGAGGAGAAACACTGAACTTACCGAAGAGCTTAAGGATCAACCCCTTCAAGTGCAGGACTGCCTATCCGCGGTAAATTCTAATACAAGAATTTTGTTCTTGATATTTTACGAACTGCTTAAAGGTTTTCCCTCCATGCATGCTTCAGAATAGTTAAGCTGACTGTTTCGTCCCATGTTTCTTGCTGGGGAGGGTGCTCTTTTGCTTCTAGAAATGTCCTAGGTTGGTTTAGTTTGTATTTTCTTTGCTGAAATGTTGATATTAACTGATGTTAACCATTGTGAAAGAAGCTAGAATGGTGATCTCAAATTGATTGCAACCCTTAGTTTCAGTCATGCCATGTTCCTATCTCATTTCACTATTCCATGGTTGCTCATTCCAGAAATTTTCAAGTCTGGCTTAAAAGTTGTGCAACTACTTATAAATGCTGAAGAAGAATATACTAAATTTTATTCACTTCTGAATTTGTGCTTGGGCTGATGATATGTCTTTTGATTCGCATGCTTTTTCGGGGAGGCTCTAATATATATAGTTGGTGGCATCAAGATATATATTCTCTTGTACATTAATTCTCAGTTCTTCTTTCAGGACAAGATGAGGTCACTGAAGCGTAAGAGAGTTGAAGCGCCATGCATCCCAACACTTGAGGATGTGCATCCTTACAGTAGGTGGAATTTGTGTGTCCGAGTGTACCACAAGTTCCATGTGGAGAGGTTGGCTTCTGGCAGAAAGCGGCTTAACATGGTGTTATTGGATGAGAAGGTAGTACTCATGTGCACATTTAGTTTCAACTGCAACAAATAATATTTTAAAACATTGGATTGTCACAATCTATTTTATCTTTTTATTAATAGGGTAAGAAAATGGCCGCTGTAGTATATGATGACGACGTCGATCGGTTTGATCCTTTGCTCGTAGAGGGGCGGGTATATTATGTGTGGAAGAAGCTTGCAGAACCAATTATGAGGAATCAGGATTATTTGTTTGCAGATAGTCAATTTGTGTGCCGTTTCAGCTTAGTGACAACAATTAATGAGTTGAGAAATGTGAATGAGCGCTTGATCCCATTGTTCCCTGCGTTTATTCCTTTTGACAGAGTTTGGGAGTTCACCCTAGATAATGATACATATGTTGGTAAGTGCTTCAGTTTCCTTTTGTTCGTTCTAACTGTTCTTTTGTAACAAATCAACTATTAATATTTTTCTGTTCAAATGTTAGATGTTATTGGCATGGTTTTATTTGTAAGTTCTATGGGATATAAAGACGATTTCTACAATCGGAGGATCCCAGTGAGAAATATTGTTCTGCTAGATGACACGTATGTGTATCTTATGATTTTGAGTTATCTAAATGATTCAAAGTTCTTACATTTCTCTTCTATATTAATTGATTTTGTAGCTATAATATTTTCAAGTTAGTTGTATGGGACAAGTTGGTGACTAATAATCTAAGTACATGGGAAAAACTCGCCGAGGAGCGTGCTATTGTCGTGGCAACAATGTTACGTGCAGAGCGCACCGGTAAGTCTAAGTGCATGCATTTTTATGCATAAATAATAATAACGTGAAAATAAATTTTGCTAATATATTGGTGTTTTGTCTTTAATTAACTAGATCGTGGCCTGCATACTACAGACTTTAGTAGGATGCACTTTAACCCGAACATCACAGCAGCGCGTGAATTAAGGCAGAGGTAATTGAAAATTTGGTTGAAGTTATCCACTATTTGCTTTATAAGGTATATTAAATATTTACAAATATTTTTCTATAGGATCAATAATGATCTTGCTGGACAATCACCTCCATGAATCAAAAGAAGATGAAGAATGGAGTCGTGAAGCAAAAGTGAAGTCTTAGAATAATAGGATAATGTGTTACTTAAGCTAGGTTGAGCTACTTTTGAACCGTGTTACTTCACTTTGCTTAATTTTGGGTGTACGGTGCCGTGGACAATGATGGAAAGTGCTTTTGTGATCCTTGTTTTAACTGAAACTGAGTTTCACTTATGAAGTCAAATCTTAAGGTAGTGTAGTGCCAAGACCACATGAACAACATATCAAGTTGGTGTGATCTCTGAGTAAAGTAAAATGTAACAGCTTGGAGGCATGTTGAGTCGCAAATAGTTGTTCACATGTATTAGCTAAGGGTGGATGTAATCAAAATGAAATGGTGTGTGTGGCTTGATGTAACTCTCTGATGTTTGTAGCATCGTTGAACAAAGATTTTCTTGATATGGCTAAAGACTAACCTTCTCTTGATGAAAATCATAGTACTACATACTTGGGCTTGTACTTTTGTGATTCCAATTTATTTCATGTGATTCCGTAGCATAGCACGGGCATCTTACTAGTTACTTAAAATAAACTACTTCTATATATAATAAAATAAAGTAGTTTTATTAAATCAACTAGTTCAACTACTAAACACTTACTATAAATAAAATAAAGTAGTAATTACTAAAAATAAACTACTTCTATATATAGTAAAATAAAATAGTTTTATTAATTAATCAACTAGTTCAACTAAAAATAAACTAACTTTAAATGCACTAACAGTAGAACTAATAACCTAAAATGCACTAAATCAACTAACCTTGAATGTAAATTTTGCAACACAATTTTTTCCTCTCCTCTTCTAACCATAAACATTGAACAAAAATAAAACTATACAACCTATAAAAATGTTATGAACAAAAAACTATGAACAAAAAAAACTATGACACATACACATACATCCATCCATATACATGCATATACATCCATCCATACATACATACATACAAAAATAGGGGCGGCGGCACGGCGGAGGGGGGTGGCGGCAGCGCACAGGGGCGGCGGCGGCCGCGGCAGCGCACGGATCTGTTGGGGAACATAGTAATTTCAAAAAAATTCCTACGCACATGCAAGATCATGGTGATGCATAGAAACGAGATGGGAGAGTGTTGTCTATGTACCCTCGTAGACCGTTCGCGGAAGCGTTATATCAACGCGGTTGATGTAGTCGTACATCTTCACGTCCGACCGATCCAAGTATCGAAAGCATGGCACCTCCGAGTTCTGCACACGTTTGACTCGGTGACGTCCTCGCCTTCTCGATCCAGCAAGAGGGGTGAAGTAGTAGATGAGTTCCGGCAGCACGACGGCGTGGTGACGGTGTTGGTGAAGAACAATCTCCACAGGGCTTCGCCTAAGCACTATGAAAACAATGACGGAGGATAAACTAGAGGGGATGGGGTTGCCGGCACACGGCTTGGTGTTTCTTGATGTGTATTTGGTGCTAGCCCTACCCCTCTATTTATATGTTGGGCCCTGGGGTCGAAACCTAGAGTAAAAGCCTCCTCAAAGTCGGTTTCACCCGAAAGGCAAGACTCCTTCTTGGACTCCAGGGCTAGACGCCAGGGTTCCGGGCGTCTACCCCCTAGACGCCAGGGTTCCTGGCGTCTAGCCTCTGGTCTCCGCAAAACTTCCTTTTGCACTTTCCAAAAGCATCGTGGGCTTTCCTTTTTGGCCCAGATAAAGTGTTCTCGTGCCCAAACATTTCGGGAAACATCCGGAACCCCTTCCGGTGAATTCCGGAACCCTTCCGGAGATCAAACACTACTATCCCATATATCAAACTTTATCTCCGAACCATTCCGGAGTTCCTCGTCATGTCCGTGATCTCATCTCGGACTCCGAACAGCATTCGGTCATCAACATACATAACTCATATAGTACTATATCATCAATGAACGTTAAGCGTGCAGACCCTACGGGTTCGAGAACTATGTAGACATGACCGAGACACCTCTCTGGTCAATAACCAATAGCGGGACCTGGATGCCCATATTGGCTCCTACATATTCTATGAAGATCTTTATCGGTCAGACCGCATAACAACATACGTTGTTCCCTTTGTCATCGGTATGTTACTTGCCCGAGATTCAATCGTCGGTATCTCAATACCTAGTTCAATCTCGTTACCGGCAAGTCTCTTTGCTCGTTCCGTAATACATCATCTCACAACTAACTCATTAGTTGCAATGCTTGCAAGGCTTAGGTGATGTGCATTACCGAGAGGGCCCAAAGATACCTCTCCGACAATCGAAGTGACAAATCCTAATCTCGAAATACGCCAACCCAACAAGTACCCTTGGAGACACCTGTAGAGCACCTTTATAATCACCCAGTTACGTTGTGACGTTTGGTGGCACACAAAGTGTTCCTCCGATAAACGGGAGTTGCATAATCTCATAGTCATATGAACATGTATAAGTCATGAAGAAAGCAATAGCAACAAACTAAACGATCAAGTGCTATGCTAACGGAATGGGTCAAGTCAATCACATCATTCTCCTAATGATGTGATCCTGTTAATCAAATGACAACTCATGTCTATGGTTAGGAAACTTAACCATCTTTGATCAACGAACTTGTCAAGTAGAGGCATACTAGTGACACTCTGTTTGTCTATGTATTCACACATGTATTATGTTTCCGGTTAATACAATTCTAGCATGAATAATAAACATTTATCATGAAATAAGGAAATAAATAATAACTTTATTATTGCCTCTAGGGCATATTTCCTTCAGTCTCCCACTTGCACTAGAGTCAATAATCTAGTTCACATCGCCATGTGATTTAATACCAATAGTTCACATCACCATGTGATTAACACCCATAGTTCACATCAACATGTGACCAACACTCAAAGGGTTTACTAGGTTCAATAATCTAGTTCACATCGCTATGTGATTAACACCCAAAGAGTACTAAGGTGTGATCATGTTTTGCTTGTGAGAGAAGTTTAGTCAACGGGTCTTCCACATTCAGATCCGTACGTATTTTGCAAATTTCTATGTCAACAATGCTCTGCATGGAGCTACTCTAGCTAATTGCTCCCACTTTCAATATGTATCCAGATTGAGACTTAGAGTCATCTGGATTAGTGTCAAAACTTGCATCGATGTAACCCTTTACGATGAACCTTTTCTCACCTCCATAACCGAGAAACATATCCTTATTCCACTAAGGATAATTTTAACCAATGTCCAGTGATCTACTCCTAGATCACTATTGTAATCCCTTGCCAGACTCAGGGCAGGGTATACAATAGGTCTGGTACACAGCATGGCATACTTTATAGAACCTATGGCTGAGGCATAGGGAATGGCTTTCATTCTCTCTCTATCTTCTGTCGTGGTCGGGTTTTGAGTTTTACTCAACTTCACACCTTGTAACACAAGCAAGAACTCCTTTTTGACTGTTCCATTTTGAACTACGTCAAAATCTTGTCAAGGTATGTACTCATTGAAAAACTTATCAAGCGTCTCGATCTATCTCTATAGATCTTGATGCTCAATATGTAAGCAGCTTCACCGAGGTCTTTCTTTGAAAAACTCCTTTCAAACATTCCTTTATGCTTTGCAGAATAATTCTACATTATCTCCGATCAACAATATGTCATTCACATATACATATCAGAAATGATGTAGTGCCCCCACTCACTTTCTTGTAAATACAGGCTTCACCGCAAGTCTGTATAAAACTATATGCTTTGATCAACTTATCAAAGCGTATATTCCAACTCTGAGATGCTTGCACCAGTCCATAGTTGGATTGCTAGAGCTTGCATATTTTGTTAGTACCTTTAGGATTGATGTAACATCCCAAATTTTCAATTTGGAATGTTATACACTAGATCATCATTGCATATCATATTTATCGCATTTTGGTTGATCCTAGAAATTTTTCGCAACTCAAGGACCCTCTGAGAGAGTTGGGGATTTCGTTATTTCATATTTAAGTTGTCTCAAATTTTGAAAATAGGATCATTTGATTTTATTTATTTTATCTTCAATTATTTCTATTACAAAAATATGAGAGATGGAATAAAATGACTTTCCCAAAATAAAGAAATATTGAGGTTTTAATAAAAAAATCAAATAAGATTTTATTTGGTTTTATTTGCTATTTTATTTGAATTTAGGAAAAATGCGCGTTTTTCACAATTGCATTTAGGCCCCAAATAAATGTTCATCCTGTGCGGCTTGATTTTAGAAGTCGGGGAAAATTTATTTCGGGATTTTTGGAGTCCGTTTAGTAGTCCTTTTGTTTTTTTCCAAGCATAAGTTTAAAAAAAACGTCCGAACCGACCTACGGGCCGTGCTAGGCCCGGACTCCCCCTGACCCAGCCTTTATAAGCCGCCGGCCCACCCCGGGCCGAAACCCGAGCCGCCCCGCCTCGAACCTCGCGCCCGACACCGCCGCCCGCGCCCGACGCCGCTCGCCGCCACCCCATCGGACCCCACCACAGCGCCCGATGCCGCCGCCCGCCGCCGCCGGACCCCGCCGCCGCGCCCGACGCCACCGCCCGCCGCTGCCGCCCTGCCGGACCCCATCGCCGCCTCGCCGGAGCCACCGCCGCCGTCCTGCCGC